TTCTAGCAAGAAGAAAAATAAAAATGGGAATATGGCAGAGAAAAGAGTAGTAGGAGAAGCAAATGTAAAACCATCTGCCAGCTGAATTTGCCAAAGTGCCAGATGCTGCCTCTAGTAGACTATATACCATTGCTTTGGCATCTGGATGGTCTTTTCTAATGAGGCAAAACTTTGACAGTTACTGAATTTTGTGGCTATGTGCTTGGTTTAACTCTGATGTTTTTTGCAGAAATCAAGCTTCAGCAGAAGCCGCCACATGCAAAAAAATACCTTTTTCAGGGGGAAAAGTCTTTGAAAGAATAAAATACCAACAGAAAACGAAAATGTTTTGCATACATTATTTATAATTCACTTGAGAAGGAGGATTATGTAATTGTCGTTTCTTCACAATAATACCCCGTGGAAGATATATGTCAACTACTTTTGTTCCTTAAACAACTGTGTTAAGATAAACAAAATACAGCATACGTTTAAGCAGGCATGCAGATGACAAAAATCAAAGAATTTTTTTTTATTCTATTTATGTTATTTATAGTTAGATTGGGAAACAAAATATTCTGCCTGGGCTGGATAAGAGAAGCCTTAGAAAAATAAGCTATATAACAATGCAGATTTTCACTCAGACTAATTTTAAAAGCTAATCAACAAACAGTATGCTAAGCAGAATTTTTTTACTTTAAAATTGGAGAGAGATCTATGCTCCATGAGTTCATTTCAGAACTCCATTATTTCTGCCAATACACAGACTGAGGGGATATTCGTACCATGATAACAGATAGTATTTCACCATTTTGAAATATAAAGGTATATTATAGGAGGGAAAATAGAGCTGGAATGTAATATGTTTAATACTATAAGAAAATTTTGGAGCTTAAATTTTAGCAAACACATCTAGAGTTCCAAATAGTTGACTAACTACCTTCAAACAACTTTTGGGAACTTGAAATTTTTCAGAAGTGCAAAAGTATGTTTCCTGATAATCTTAAATTAGAGTCATTAGTTGCTTGAAGATCTAGATTTCAGAGTTTATCACAAGTGTGAATGCACCAGTTCTTTCTACCATTAAATGTGCTTTTGCTGAAAATCTGAGCTAAACCAAAACCCCTATATTTGAAAAGTTCCCCAGTACTCTTTGAGAGTAATACAGTAACTTTAAACTTTATCAGAATTGTGCATAGTGGACTGTAGTCAGCTCGGTGAGCAGATGCTGAACACAGTATTCCTTTGTGTAATATTTTTAACTGTTGAAATTTAAATATATATCACACTTTGCAAAAGCCAGGCATGCAGGTGCTCAGAAAGCCTGAGAAGATTTTTCCTACTGCCATAAGGATGAAGAATCAGAGCCTAGATTGTTGTTGTCTCTGAAAACACTTACAAAGGTTCTCTGAGAATAGCATGCAGAATCTGAGAGCCTTTCAAATGTTCTTTCCACCTTAATTTTGCAAGGCCTTGTTTGCCAAATAAAAAAGAAGCTGCTCTGTTATTTCTCCCTAAGAATGACTTAAGATGGACAGTCAGTGTTGTGCTTAGAAAAAAGCCAGGGGCAATGGGTGGGATCAGGAAGCAGCTGTTATTAAAACTAGGTGTGATTCTGTCTCTGTGTGTCTGTGTTTTGTGTCTGTTTTCAGTTTTGTTTTTCATCATTTTTTGGATAATAAATAGCTGGTACAGAATGTATTCTTCTCATTAAAAAAAAAAATTAAAAATCAAGAGAAACTCCTCTGATTTGTCTCTTTTTTGTCCTGCTTATCAACACTGAAGACTATGCTTTCAGCTTTGTTATTCACACTCTAAGTAGAAAGGGAAGGCTGTAACTCATTCAGAAGTGGACATATTATTATAAATAAGTTGTTACATATGAATATGCAGAACTTGGACTCATTTTAAGGTAGTCAAAGTGACTGTTAATCAAGAATTGGCAGACTGGAGCAAACTGTAAGAATAAGGAAATCAATGGGGGCTGTGAGGACTTTCGCTACTGGGCGGCTGCGGATTTTCAAGCAAGGTAATGTTAATTTGTACATCTCTCAGGAGGTGGAGCACACTTTTGTGGAATGAATCTGTAGTATAGGGCAGCCAAGTAGAAGGATATCTTTTAAGAAATCTATAATTAAAACATCTGCAATTTGTGTGAAGACAATTAAAGGGCAACAGCGGCATGTTAGGTTTAAAAAAAAATTATAACTAATTTCATCACCTGGTCATTCAACAAATGACCTGGCCATTTAGGAGGTAAGAATGGTTTGTACTGTTTGCCAGTGGGACATCATGAACCTTTTAAAATAATTTCTTTTTAAACTCTATGTTCTGTGAGTAAATGTACCTTTAAAAACAGTGCATCAAGGAGTAGCTCTGGTACTGAAAAGACTACTAATATTAGCAGCTATGGTACCAAAAGACAATATAAATATGGTTTTATTACCAAAATTAAGTTTTATATTGGCTATATAAGAGCTTGTCTGGCTGTGCTCTTGATGGCGTATGTACATATCAGTTCTGTCATGTTCAGTGTATGATGTGAACAAACTGGTGAAACGTCAACAATTTGTAAAACAGGAGTTCAAGTGCATTTATACTGTGCTTTAACTTAAAAACACACCTTGTCCCTTTAAAGGCTCAAGAGTTAGTACAATAATGTTTCTCTCCTAAATAGCTCAAAGTATATTCAGGAAGGGGTAACTTGCTTCAGATAACCAAAGGATGACACAGCCCTGAAGTTATGCTCATTTCCGATATTGCTTCTCCTTCACCTCCTTTGCTCTGGCTTTTATATAATTCCTTCCCTCTCAGGTCAGATGACTGTTTCCATGGAAGCTCATTAACATTTTTTGCGAAGAAATCTATTGCTTCCAAACCCTAGCAATGCCCCATGGCAGCAGGGTGTAGGTTTGTTTGTTCGCTTTTCTACTTTTGTGTTACTATTCAGATCTTTTATTTTCCTGGATAAGAAAACAAGCATGTATATTACACCAAACTGCATTGCACAGCACAAATTATTAGATTTTTAAATGATTCCTCAGAAATTACATTTTCAGAGCACGCTCTTCCCTTTGACCCCTGCCCCCTCCTGTTATATGTGAACCCTCACTGAAATAAATTCAGAAAGTAAAGAGAGAGAAGTTAAACCAATTAAGTGAAATGCAACATTTTATGTGAAATGTGGAGAGCACAGCACCTGAACCTCTGCTTCCATTAGTTGTCCTGTGGTAGAGGCTGGTTTGAAGCCACTGCGCCACTTACTTAAGCGTTTTGCCCCTTTAAAGGCTTTCATTCTCCTGTATGCTATCAAAACCAAATCTCTGTTTCATCTCAGGAAAATTCTCTCATGGGCATTGTATTAGCTTCTCCTTTTCAATTATTTAGTAAGTGTATAAATTAAAGTCAGTAGTTTGGACATTTGTTTCTTAAGTGTATCTTAGATAAACATCTAATTTCCCATTACTTCAGTAATTGGTCCAAAACCTCTGAGAAATAAATGCTGACATGAGAGATCTAAACTGTCTTCGAGGCTGTTTGTGCCGAGTAGAGTTTAATGATGGTGTCTTAAACACCTAAAACTCCACCTCCAGTATTGACATATATGGACAAAAGTACAATGTTACATTTTAAAAGATGGAACAGGGAATCCCTTTCACTGTCAAGACTGATACAGGTAAGCAAAGGGAAATATTTTCAAGCATACTAGGAAGGTTATTCACTAAGGAACGTAGAGTAGAAAGATTAATTCTAGTTACAGAGAAAAGGTAGGTGCTGAAAACAATCGTAATTACTGTAGTTAACTGACAGGTTAAACATAGGACAGAGGTAGATTGAGATTGCAATAATACATATTTACTGTTTATACAGCAAAACCCACAATTTAGTCTTACTTTATTGTTGGAATGAATGAGTCTTTCATTGATAACAATTTTTAGGCCTGTAATTAACAGCAGATTGTGTATGGGAATATAAAAGATTTCTTGATTTCAAACATGACTGTAAAAAAATAGGTACTTTTTTGTAATTACTGCTGGTTTTAAGGGGCCCAGTTAATCATTCTTCTTTGATTTTCTTCCTTGTGAATATGGATTCTTGTCTTCTGAAATCAGTTAAATTACATGTGAATGCCTCTGAACGATAGAAAGGTCTGTCCTTGACTAATTATCCTTGCTGTTCTGTGCAGAGATTGAGAGTAAAACAAGCAGCAAAAACAAGGGGAGGTGAGAGCAAGGAATGGGGGAGGAGAGGTACTGGACTGAAGTTAGCCTGGGAAAGGTGGACAGAGGGTGTTTCCCTAAGTGTTCGTTTAATTGTTTATGGTGGTGGCAGGGCTGTTTCTTAATACCCAAATCAGTCATCAACATCAAAAGTTGTTTTTAACTGTCAGTAAATTAATTAAGTAAAATTTCCTGAGTTGGTGCTGTTTTGTCCATGACACCAACCTCCTAATAAAATGCAAGAAGATAGGGCACAAAGAAAGGAGGCTGCAAAAGATGCCAATCATGCCTTCATAAAAATAGCATAGTTAATTTCTCTACTCAGTTTTAGCTGCCCCATGCAACAAAGGAGGACCCAGTGTGCTTTCTGAAAGTACTTTGACCCTCGCCAGCCTCTTTTCTGTCCCCACAGACCCCATGAACACAGACCAGCACCTCTGACAGAGCAGGGTGTCCGCAGCCAACAACTGCGCTGATTAACTCAACAGATGTTTCCCTCTCAAGGAAAGGCATGTTGTGCCGTAATCCTTCCATTTTGCTACTCTTTTCTCAGCTTTCACCAGTTAGCTTATTTTGCCTGGCACATCTTACTTTCTGTGGGCTTTATCCTCACTTCTGTATCTGCAGATTTCTTCCCTTTGATCTGGATCAGCTACAACCCTTCTGTACCCTTCTTTCTCAGTTCTACCACCAGTTCCTCTCTCTTATTTGCAGAAATAATGCTACTTTTTTTTTTTTTTTAAATTACCTTCACCTCTTTCTCAACCCCCATCTTCTCAGACACCTCAAATACTCTTTAGCTGGAAACAGGATAGGTGCACCTCATCACAGCAATTTCTGAACCTGCTCTTAATAATTTGTCCTGCTTCATAGTCCCTCTTCTTTCTCCTTCTTTTTCTTTGTCCAGAGGAACCTCTGCTATTTCTAAGGAAAAAAAGACAGAAATCACGTTTGTTCACCTTTGTTACCTATCTGGGGGTTGACTAGAAGGGTCTTACTATGCAAAATACCAGTCTACCGGTGACATCAGGTGGAAAAAAAATGCCTTGCAATGCAGATCTAGAGGAGGTTCCACTGTCTGCCTGGAGAAAATAATCATTTTGTCCTTCATTAGTTACTTGGCATGAATATTTTTCTTCTTGGCTGAACTTGTGTTGTTGTGACCAGTTCCTAGGACTCATTAAGTTGCCTCAGGCAGGGGCAGTGTATGAAGCCTAACACTCTCCAACCAGCAGAACCTGGTTCCTGTGTGCCTGCTAATTACCTAGCTGCACCTACAGAGATTCATTTTGTATTTCCCTGATGGTCAAATTTCAACTTCCTGGTCTTCACTTCTTCTGAGAAGAAATAATAGCACTGTAAATAGTTTTAAAATGCAATTACATGGTTTTCATCTGTCCTGACTGGCTGACTGGTTGGCTGAGATTTTTTTCCTGATTAGACAAGTTCAACAATAAGATTTTGATATTCACAACCTGAATTACCTATACATCCTAAAGGGAAGAAAAATCTACAGAAATATGGCACTGCTGCAAAAGCCTCAGTACACTTATGTCCTAATAAAGCAAATTAAGCCAGAGGAGCATGCTTCCACACACATAAAAACTGTGTCAGGGCAAGAGAAACAGGTGAACACAGAAATCTTATGTGAGGCTCCTCTCATAAAGCAGCTGCTAAAAAAAGCCTTATTATGCACTTACTTTCCACCAAGTTAGAGGTTTTTGGTCCGAAGGTTCTGAGCTGTCACCTGATGTTGATTTAAAGAGACAGGTGATTACCCACAAAGTGAAAAATAATGTGGCATTATTCCCTGAGGTATAAACTCTGATGGCAATCAGAAAAGAGACAGAATAAGAGGCTACTGTGTAATGGAGGGAGTGCAGTACTGACAGTGGTGGAGATGAAGTGAAGTTGACAGGAGTTTCATTTTGGAATTGGCTGCACTGATGTGGCTTGGGTAGTTCCTGGTCTTCATCTCAACAGTCAGTAGCACCAGTCAATCCTTAGCCTGTCACTTTCCTTTCCTCTGCTTCAAGTCCCAATTCACAGTTTATATTTAAATTAGCTCACTAATACTTACTATGTCTTACTTTAAAATGCCAACAAATGGGCTACAAGAATCACCATTATTTCACGGCCAATTTTTTTTCCATTAGCTTAAGAAGATTGATTGCTTTTTTTGCAGTCTACCATTCACTTTTCTGTGTTTGTCTTCTTTCGCTCTCTTCTCTTCCTCTTCTCATTCTCCCTATATCTTTCTGTGTCAATACTTTATAAATTATGAACAACAATTCTGTTGCAAGAAAGCTAGTTACTGTTAGTCTTCTGAGCTGGCATTGAAAAAACTTATACAAGGAAATGCATATGACAGAAAGAAAACCTGATGAAGTACTGTTAGAAAAACAGAAAGATGGAAAAACAGGCACCTTAAAAATATTTCTGACTCTGCTCTTCTTCTTACTTCCAAATATGTTCTTTATTAATAAAGCAAATTTTTCTGTGACATATGCTGGACAGAACAGGATTTTTTGGAATGGATGTTTATTACAGTTATATTCAACTACAGACCTTCATATGCATATTTTAATTGAAAAAATTACTCAGGAATTCCATGAGATTCTATCAGGTGTAGTAACTTCATATCTTGTCACTATCACAGCCATCAACATACAGACCTATCAGTCTTTCCTTTTGCCAGAGAAAAAAAAGGCCATTCTTTTACACATCAAAGGAAATTTAAATTGAGGAAGATTATTTTTCTAAATTTTAATTCAGGATCTTTGTATATCACCATGATTGCAGCATTATGCACAGTTCCATATAAGGTGGAGATCTCTTATAGATTAATTCTGTAGATTTATGTTTTCCAGTATATGAGAAAGAAGAAATGATATTGCACTTATTTCATATGTCACTCCTATAGACATGCATTGCAGTTCTAAAAAGAAGCAGTTTTCTTATCATCCTGCTGGCAAAAGTCCATTTTAATTTAATTGTATTACATGAAATGCAAATTATTGTTATTTGACCAGGTCAAGAGAGTTATGAAATAAATGCTGGCTTAAAAAGTGGAGGGTGGTATAAACACATGGGATTTTGATGAGGCTGGAGCTACTACCTGCCTCAAAATTTTATGTGGATATTTTATATGTTTTCTCTTTCTATTTTGGATTTGATTAGCCTGCAGTTATCACCCAATTGTACAGGTGAGTTAATGGTCTCACATATTCTCTGCTGTCAGTCATAAAGGAGTGTTACACAAAGGCTAATAATAATAAAACAATAATAACAATTTTGGCTTTCTGTAGTTCTTCTACACTCTTGAAAGAGTTCAGATTTCCCCTGGCATGCATATCACTTGAGTTATGTTGAGACTGTGCAACAAAGGGTCATTATTGTTATTAGCAACTATAAATTTTGTTACCTTTGTTTTGTGCATTTGCTAGGAAAACGTTTTTATCCAGTGCTGCCAAGAAGTGAATTTAACCTGTTTCATAATTTTTTCACCCATCATAGGCAGAACTGTCATTAAGTGCCTGATATTTTTATTCCTGGAGCGCCTCAGTGTTGCTGGAAGCATATCAATTGATAAGAGAGCACATTTAAAATAAACTAAGTATTAAATAAACACCTGTTCATTAAATCTGTAGCTCTCTCTATGCAGTTTGGTAGCAGATGTTGCTGATGATAATGATACAAACTGACAGGAAAGGTAGGTATTAATGGACTGTACTACCAATGAATGTGAATGCTCCAGAAGAGTACATGTCAAAATAAACTCTGTATTTCTCTCTGAAGTAAAACAAACCCTATCTTCATGGAGGACTGAAAAAACATTTTTCGTTTAAACCAGTGTTAGATCCGAACCATTATCTGATATTTGAACCAGACTGAATTCTTCAAGGAATAAAAGGGAAAGTCCTTACACAGAGAAGTAAAAGCATAAAAGCCTGTAAAATAAGTATAGGAATAAATATGCATATTTTCCAACAGAGATTTGCACTGAACCTTTTCATCATATTCCTTTATAATTTGGGAAATTATATGAGAAGTAAGGTGAAAAAGTGTTCTAGCAATGTGAAATGTTCAAAGTAAGAAAAACTGTGAGAAACTGCAAAAGGATTACCTGAGTCAGCTGCAGACAAAATGACAGAAGAAAGTCAGTATACATGACTGTGCAATGATGTACAGAGGACTCCCGCTCCCAAACCCTAACTTTACCTATACAGCAATGTAGCTTTAACAGTGATTCATCAGAGATCTTGGAGCTGTAATAGTGTCTGAAAAAAGTTATACGAACTCCGTGCACAGTAGCAGTCAGAAACAGATAGGATATTAAAAATTATTAGGATGAGACACATGATAAAAATACCCCTATATGTATATCTAAATTCATGGCACACTAACTTTGCTTTTTCTTCTCAAAAAACCTACACCTTAAAAGTGTCAAGGGAAGGACAGTAAGAACTATCAAAGGTATGAAATAGCTTCTAGTGGCTGAAGAGCTAATATTTTTCAGTCCTATAATTATAATCTTCCCAAGGCATTTGCTATGGGCTTCTATTTGCGACAGGATGTTGGATGATGTGGGCCTTTGATGTGGCCCAGTAGGGCAGTGCTTTGGCTTTGCTGTGTCTGTAATAGAAGGAGGAGTATGGCACCAGGACAAACTGACAGAATTAAATTCCACTGAATTCCTTTGAAGAAGTGCTGCTTTCCTTCTATATGCAAAGTGTAAGAGTGCATAAGACTGTAAAGGTATTCAGATTAAGCACTGCCTCATCCTGAGGAGCTCAAACACACACCTTCCATTTCTAAGGGAATTTCCTCCCAAACACACTGGAATTAAACCAATTCTCCAAATAAATATTTAATCTGACTTTTGAGCTGCATTTGGATATGTCTTCATTAGCAAGCTGCACAGCAGAACAGGAGCAGATGTGTAGAGTGATGCAAAAGGAACACAGTTTATGTTCCAGAAACGGCTCCAAGAAGTGAACCACAGGATGGTAAGGGAGACAGTGGAGGGTTTCACTTCACAGCCATAACTCTGAGTACTAGAATAGATGTACTCTACTAGAATCCGGTTCTGAGCCCTGTGAATGAGCAGAGTAGACATTAATAGGAGATTGACAATCCTCAGACTCCTCTGGTTGCTGGGGTTTTTATTTTTTTTTTTGTTTGTGTTTTGTTTTTTTGGTTTTGTTGAGTTTTTCTGCGGTATAGCAAAATTTAAATGAATGGGGAGTGGTCTGTATCCAAGTGTCTAGGACAGTCACCAGAGGATGATGGTAGGTGTTTAAATGCCTTTGTACAGAGAATAGTACTGATCAGGAGAATGCTTGTGAGATATTGACTATTGCCATCAACCTCTCATCTCAGCCTCTTCAGAATGAACATATAATCCCATCTCTACTGCCAAAAAAAGGACATTTTAGAAAGCAAAAATAAGGTGTTTACAAATCTTAAAAGGGTGTATGAAGCTCTCTCACCTTCTTCCTAAAAGAGGGTGGAATTGCAGGGTACTTTAGTATTTTTCAGTGGTTTTTGATGGCTAGTTCTACTACCTGTTAAATCCTTCTCTGAGGAGCATAAGTTTTCCTAAAATTACCTATGGAGTTGATACTTATACTCAGCTTAAGAAACAAAACTGTGATTTTCACCTTACAGTTGTAGAATAGAGCCCCTTTTGTCTGTAATTAAATGGGAATGAATAATAATAAAAAAGTAACATAAAATCCTGTTGATATTTTTCTGTCATATTTGACATCTTCAGGTCTTCCAAACCCTTGCATTATGCCTTACATTTCTTTTTCAGTTCCATTAAAACTTTAACTTATTTGTTAGAAAGAGCTTTTCCTAAATTATGTGTAAGCAGTAACCTGCTGTCTTCACCTATATCTGGCCTAGGTCATTTTGGAGATCAGTGGTGGTGGAAGCCACACGTGGGACCAAGAGCTATTTCAGATCGCTACAGTTAGAACTATATTTTTTTACTTTCTTCATTGACTTAAATTTTGTAGCAAGATGTTAACCCCAGTGAAAACTAATTCCTCCTTCTGTTATTATTGTTGCAGTGCTTCTACTGTAGTTTGAAGGCTTAGTTGGGGTTAACCACCTATAGACCCTATTGCCTTTAAATACCAAACAAGTACTCCTGAATGGTAATCCCTGACACATTTACAGACATTTAGAAACATAGGTCTTGTCTAAATTGGTAGCCATTTCCTGACAAGGACAGTAAAAGAGCTTTAGCCAAAAACACAAGGAATTTCTCAGCTTCTCACATTTTCTGTGTTTTGGCTTTTTTTGTTTGTTTGTGGAGTTTGTTTTTTTTGTTGTTGTTGTTGTTTTCTTTTTGTTATTGGTTCAGTTTGGGGCTTTTATAACTGACAGTAAATTTCAGACTATTTTTCATGGCTTGTTTCATTAACTAGCTCCTTTAAAAATATCATTTGAGATCAGTATAAAATATCTTCTAGAGTAGTTGCTGCCAGGAATTAGGATGTTTAAATACAGCCAAAACATGCCACAAGTTTCTAATCTATCCACAAGAGTAATGATGGTTTGGTGCACAACACAGTGCCCATTGCATTATGCAAGGAATACCTCTAAACTTTTCTGAAGATTTCCCTTCAGCAGCCATCTATCCTGTGTTATTACTTTTTTTTCCTTTGGGAGAGGAAAGTAATTTTTCCTTTGGGAGAGGAAGCTGTCTGGCTGACAAAATAATGAAAGTCCTCTAAGTTTTGATTTCAATGGAGAAATGAGCTGGCTAATATATTTTCCCATTAGTATGTGCTTGAAATAAAGAATTTTCTTTTAATTGCTCCTAATAATAATTTTTTATGAGCTGCAGATGAAAACATATTTTTCTCAGGTTTCTCCTTAATTACAACATTAGCTTTTTCCTCACAGTATAACCACATAAAACACGGACAAATGTTGGATTCTGCACCTCAAACAGTGTAATTCTGATGCCTGGATGTACGGGGACAACAGGGTGGAGTTCAGCACTGCAGAAAGGGATCTGGGGATTTTAGTTGATGTTAAATTCAACAGAAATGTTAAATTCAACAGAAGCCTCCAATGTGCCCTGGTGGCCAAAAGGGCCAATGATATCCTGAGTTGCACTAAGCATAGTATAGCTAACGAGTCAAAAGAAGTGACTGTCTCATTTTACCTCAGCATCAGTGTGGCCTCAGCTGGAGTTTTGGACTCCACAATATAAGCAGGATATAAAAATAGAATGTGTCCAAAGATGGACAATAAAAATGGAGAAAGGA